ATACCTTCGGCATTCTACTTGTCAATTTATCGAGGTAACCTGAGGAAATGTCACCCTGTGCTTCTCGTAGCACCTCTACCAATTGGATTGGATTGACGGGCACTTTTTAAGGACCATACGGTAAAGCTGCTCCCACAACAGGTTAATAGGGTTGAACTCTGGTGACTGTGCATGCAAGTCCAATACAATACAGATAGAATACCAGCTGACTTCTTCTCTAAATAGCTCTTACGTAGTCTGGAACTGTGTTTGGGCCACTGTCCTTTTGTAAGAGGAAGTTGGCTCCAATCAAGTGCCGTCCACAGGGGTATGGTACTTCATTGCAGAATGGATTGATCACCTTCCTTGTTCAAGATCCGTTTTTTATCATGTACAATTTTCCCCTTTAGCAGGACCAGAGCAGCCCCAGACCATCACTTTTCCACCACCATGCTCAAGCACTCCTGCAGCATCATTGAATTTTTTCTGCATCTCACAAATGTTCATGTCTGTGTTCCAAACAATACATAAACGTAAACATTTGTCCAATCATGCAATGGCTGTGTTCTTTGGTCCATCTTAATCTCTTCCTTTTATTGGCCAGCCTCAGATATGGATTTTTCTTTGCAACGCTGCCTAGAAGGCCAGTGTCCTGGAGTCACCTCTTGACAGTTTGCAGGTACCATTTAATGAAGCCAGTTGAGGACCTGTAAGACGTCCATTTCTCGAACTAGAGACTCGAACTAGATGTATTTGTCCTCTTGTTCAGTTGTGCTCCGGGATCCCCAACTTCTCTTTCCATCCTCGCGACCTCATTATACGTGATATGACCTAATTCATAAATCTACATGTATTCATTAACATTTAACAGTAAGTGAGGAACGCCACCGAATTTAGCAAAGTACATTTCTGTACTTTTCTGGTGATGTTGAACATTTGGGTGTAAGATCTGGGTGTAACTGTATGTCAGTTGTAGCTTTATTGTATATGTGTATTGTAATGTTAACGGTGTTCTATCGATTACAAATTTCTCCTAATTGAAACAATAAAGGCTCTTTAAACTTTTATTTTAAATGAAAAAAAAAAATGTGCTACCTGAAGTAATATGTATATATATACAAATACACATACTTTATATGATAAAATGACTGCATAATCTTTTCTTTCTGGTTTATATTTCAGGTTTCTCAGGTTAATATTCATAATATTCCACTGCATTTACATACTATTTCGAGTGATTTAAATCTGAACTCTGTTGGCAGTCATACTAAGTGATGTGCTCTCTCTTTGCCATGTGATTGCATCATTTGTGACTAGCGTTTATAGTGTTTGTAGCACTCCTAAGTACTAGCATATACCTTAGCCCTCGTGTTTATTTTCTCTCGTTCTTTCTCTCTCTGTTCTTCCTACACCGATCTTGCACTGTTTCTGGTCAGTTGATGGAATGTTCTGTGGAACAATATGAGACAAATATAGCCACATACTTGGATTGTGATGAAAGAAAGAGAAAAATAAATCCGGCAAGTGAGTAAATGTTAAGGCAGCACAGGTCGTAATCAGATGATACTGCCTGGGGTCTCTCGTGACCGATATCTCTCGGTGCTTACTTACAATAACGAACATTCCCTAACAACTAAAAGAGACATCCCGGATTTGGTATACATTTTGAAACTACTGACTTAAACTACTAAACCCCATAAATCAGATTAAGGAAATTCAAGACAAAAAAAAAAAATGCATCAGGGAGCATTAAAATGAAGTCCCAGCCTGCTGTCACTGTGCATGCTTTATATGAGTAATGAGATTCTCCAAACAAGGGAAGCACTTGCAGACGGGCAGTGAGTCTGGGAGGAATAATGATCATGCCAAGATTCCCAGAGCATAAGTCCTCCTGCAGAGTCAGGGACAAAAAAAAAAAAAGTAGTTTCGCTGAACTTTTCTTCAGGCTCTGAGATCTTATGAAAATAAAAACTCAAGGACTCAAGGACTAACTTCGTGAATTAGACCCAAGATCTATCTACCAGTCTTGCTGCTATGTCTTTCAACATAGTAAGGGGATGTTAACCTTGTAAGCTGACTATCTACGTAAAAGCCTATTAAGTGTGTCTAAAGACTGAAAAGGAGACGTGTAACATCTATAGTGTGGGTATAAAAAAAAAAGGTACAAAAGGAAAAGCAAAGTAGGTACTATAGCAAGGAAAAAGACATAACTGGCTTACAGACCGCCTACAGATATCGCCGACTGACCGAGATAGAAGACAAACGACTGGGATAGTAAGGACTAAGACATCAATATAAAGTTTCATTTTTGGCATCCACATCAGGATATTTGCTGTTTATAAATGCGTTAAGACAGAACCGAATCCCAAGCACAACAGCAACCACTAATGGTGGTAAGAGAAACGCGTAGAATGATATGAAGAAGTGATGTTCGGGCTGATTTCTTTCTAATCCAGACTGTAAATTCATGCAACCTACTGTATCAGGGAAAATTGTATCAAGTGATTATACAGAGTGATTTAGTGCCTGCTTGGTTTGATCTTCATTTGGACTGATATTGTTCAGCCTATTTTGCTGACACATCAATAACTCATCATCAGGTGCATGTGAAATACAGTCGCGGATGTACTGATGGATTATTTACTCAATCATCCATTTATTATTATTATTATTATTATTATTATTATTATTTACCCAAGATCAGTGTTTATCTCCATGCTGATTGGACAGTGCACTCGTCACTTGTCCTACCTGGATGCTTCTCCATATGATGATTGGGGCATCTCTCAAAGGGGGCTGAACCTCAGTAGAGTAATCCATAACAGTTTTACAAAACTATTATAGCTTGTTGTTTGTAAACGTCATACTCGGTAAATATTCTAACTAAATTGTAAGTATAGTATACATTTTTTTGCATTCATTTCGGAGCTTTTTTGTTTATTTATTTACACGTCTAGCTAGTTAGCTCTCAGTTCCTTCTTTAGTGAAACTTAGCTAGCTAGTTAGAAGCTTAGCTGTTTTTTTGTTTTTTTAGCACGCTATGGCAGACACTCCTAATTTTGTTCACCTGATTTTGATGCACCTACTTATGAGAAGAGACTTCAAATTAAAACATGGGCCCAGACCAAAAGATGAAACAAATAAAACAGAACTCAAACTGATCTTGTTGATCTTCGCTCGTAAAAATGATCAATCTGTTAAAACATCAACGAGAATGATATACATTCACCAGCCACTATATACGGAATAATTCATGCAATTATCCAATCATGTGGCAGTGCATTAAATCATACAGATACACATCAAAAAAACAGAAATGAGGGAAAATGTGGTGTCAGTGACACATTTTTGATGAGAGAGGTCAGAGGTCAGAGGTCAAGGCAGACTTGGTGTGTGCTGACAGGAATGCTACAGTTACATGAATAAGCACGCTTTACAACCTGGGTGAGCAGAAAAGCATCTCAAAATGCACAACACATCAAAGCTGGAGGCAGATAGACTACAGCAGCAGAAGACCACATCCGGTTCCACAGATATCAAAAGTTCCTAATAAAGCGACTGCTGAGTGTATTTGTTGAGCTATTCATAGATATTAGCTTTTAGCTCACACATCTAATATCATAGCCAGTTCTCATTTCTTGATATACAATATCAAGCACAAATAACACAGCATTTACACAAAACAATCAGAGTCCTAGAAACATTGGGTGAAGAGATAGAGTTCCAACGTGAAGGGGCTACAGTGCAGAAAGCCCTAGCACCGAGTGAGGACAGCTTGTAATGTGGAATAAATAATAAGCCAGAATCAGATGACCTGAGAGAGCAACAAGGGTTCCGGCATGTTTGGTATTAAGAATGGGGCGAAGTCTAGCAATGTTGTGAAGATGATAAAAAGCTGTTTTTTTATGAGATAGGAGATTAAAAAACAGTGTGGAGTCAAAGATTATACAAAGGTTATAGACAGTAGAGGAGGGTCTGACCAGGACACCATTTATATCAATTAACTCATCAGGGAGATGAGAAAGAACATGTGGAGATGCTACTACTAACGCATCTGTTTTTTCAGTGTAGAGTTTGAGAAAATTACTGCTCATCCAGGAATGAATGTCCTTGATACATTCAGACAAATGAATTAGTGAGGAACGGAGAAGAAAGATGGGAGGTAATATAGAGTCGATTGTCGTCAATGGAAATTAACTCTATGTTGGTGAATGATGCGACCTAAGGGAAGCATGCCGATGATAAACAGCAGTGGACCAAGTACAGAACCCTGAGGAACACCTTGAGAAATAGAAACAACAATAGATTGACAGGATGGATGGAAATGAAGTGCTGATGACCAAAGAGGTAAGAAATGACCAAAGATAAAAAAAACAATGCCAGAAATTTCAACAGCGGAAAGCCAATAAATAAGTATACTATGTAAACTATGCTAGTATCAAAACCAGAACGAATATCGAAGAGGACTGGAAAAGTAATGGCACCAGAGTGAGAGGCCATCAAAATATAATTTGAAACTCTGTCTAGTGCAGTCTCAGTGCTGTGAAGTGGACGGAAGCCAGACGGAAAGCATTCAAAGAGATTGTAATATCTTAAGTAGGAGAGAAGCTGAGAAGCAACCATTACTTCTCTATCACTTTAGACAAGAAAGGCAGATGAGAAACGGGGCAGTAGTTTTTAAGATCTGAAGGGTCCAAGCTAGGCTTTTTTTTTTAACTGGATTGACGGCAGCAGTTTTGAGGTCTAAGGGGACAAATACAGTACTAAATGTTCTATTGATGAGGTGGGAAATAGGCAAAGAGATAACAGGCAGGCAAAGCTTAAGTAAAGCTGTGGGGGCAGGATCAAGCTGACAGGAAGACCGTGAAAACAGTTTGTAAATAGAAACAAGCTTATATTGAAAGGATTTAAGGAATGACTAACAGAGTTCAGAAGAGGCAGAAAGTAGGGGGGCAGGAGAATTAATGTGCTTAGTAACAGTAGAGAAGAGTGTTTTGGGTCTAGAAGACATTAATAAAGGGGGCAGTGAGGGCTTAGTGGTTATGGCTCTGGGTTACGGATCAGAAGGTCAGGGGTTCAAGACCCCAGCACCGCCAAGTCACTGTTGAGTCCTTGAGCAAGGCCCTTAACCCTCTCCGCTCCAGGGGCAATGTATCATGGCTTACACCCTGTGCTCTGACCCCAACCTCCTGACAGGCTGGGGTATGCAAAGAAAAGAATGTCACTGTGTATACGTGTGTGTGTGAACAATAAAGACTCATTATCATTATTATCAATCAGAGCAGAAAAGTAGGATGAGCGTGCATCCTTTAGTGCAGACTTATATGCTTGTATATGATCGTTATATGCATCCAAGTCAACAGTAAGACCGGTTTTCTTGTAAAGATGCTCAAGGCGTCGTCCCGCAGCTTTAAGAGCACGCAGTTCCTGTGTGTTTCGGGGGAGGAGTGAGTGGACGGGACACATCTACACTTAAGTGGGGCGTGTACATCAAGGGTCTTAGAAATAGAGTTATGATGATCAGTGATGATGTCATTTGGACAGGATAGTTGCATGACATCTTTAGGAATTGATTGTTGCAGTGATGCAGAGAAGGTTACAGGTTTAATGGAGGCAAAATTACGAAACGAAATCGAGGATTTCAGAGCAGACAATGAAAAGAGGAATTTTTCACAGCTCAATTCCAGAAAGAAGTCATCAGACAGTCCGATCTGAGATCCGGACACAGCGACATCGTCTAGACCATAAGTACATATCAAATCTAAGCTATGGCCAGGTGTGGGAGCTGGAAAATCAACATGTTGTACAAGGATGAAACATTTAAACACAGATCAACGTTCACGGGCAGCTGCAGAATCAGTATTAACATGTACAGTGGTGTGAAAAAGTGTTTGCCCCCTTCCTCATTTCCTGTTCCTTTGCATGTTTGTCACACTTAAGTGTTTCGGAACATCAAACCAATTTAAACAATAGTCAAGGACAACACAAGTAAACACAAAATGCAATTTGTAAATGAAGGTGTTTATTATTAAAGGAGAAAAAAAATCCAAACCATCATGGCCCTGTGTGAAAAAGTGATTGCCCCCCTTGTTAAAACATACTATAACTGTGGTTGTCCACACCTGAGTTCAATTTCTCTAGCCACACCCAGGCCTGATTATTGCCACACATGTTCACAATCAAGGTATCACTTAAATAGGAGCTGCTTGACACAGTAAGGTCCACCAGAAGATCCTTAAAAGCTACACATCATGCCGAGACCCAAAGAAATTCAGGAACAATTGAGAAAGAAAGTAATTGAGATCTATCAGTCTGGAAAGGGTTATAACGCCATTTCCAAAGCTTTGGGAATCCAGCGAACCACAGTGAGAGCCATTATCCACAAATGGCGAAGACATGGAACAGTGGTGAACCTTCCCAGGGTGCGGCCGCCCAAAATTACCCCAAGAGCGCAGCGACGACTCATCAAAGAGGTCACAAAAGACCCCACAACAACGTCCAAAGAACTGCAGGCCTCACTTGCCTCAGTTAAGGTCAGCGTTCATGCCTCCACCATCAGGAAAAGACTGGGCAAAAATGGCCTGCATGGCAGAGTTCCAAGGAGAAAACCACTGCTGAGCAAAACGAACATCAAAGCTCGTCTCAATTTCTCCACAACACATCTTGATGATCCCCAAGACTTTTGGGACAACATTCTGTGGACCGATGAGACAAAAGTGGAACTCTTTGGAAGGTGTGTGTCCAAGTATATCTGGCGTAGAAGGAACACTGCATTTCATAAAAAGAACATTATACCAACAGTAAAATATGGTGGTGGTAGTGTGATGGTCTGGGGCTGTTTTGCTGCTTCAGGACCTGGAAGACTTGCCATGATAAAAGGAACTATGAATTCTGCTGTCTACCAAGAGATCCTGAAGGAGAATGTCCGACCATCTGTTCGTGTACTCAAGCTGAAACGAACTTGGGTTCTGCAGCAGGACAATGATCCTAAACACACCAGCAAGTCCACCACCGAATGGCTGAAGAAAAACAAAATGAAGACTTTGGAGTGGCCTAGCCAAAGTCCTGACCTGAATCCTATTGAGATGTTGTGGTATGACCTTAAAAAGGCCGTTCATGCTCGAAAACCCTCTAATGTAACTGAATTAGGACAATTCTGCAAAGATGAGTGGGCCAAAATTCCTCCAGGACGCTGTAAAAGCCTCATTCGCACGTTATATCGCACGCTTGGTTGCAGTTGTTGCTGCTAAGGGTGGCCCAACCAGTTATTAGGTTTAGGGGGCAATCACTTTTTCACACAGGGCCATGATGGTTTGGATTTTTTTTCACCTTTAATAATAAACACCTTCATTTACAAATTGCATTTTGTGTTTACTTGTGTTGTCCTTGACTATTGTTTAAATTGGTTTGATGTTCCGAAACACTTAAGTGTGACAAACATGCAAAGGAACAGGAAATGAGGAAGGGGGCAAACACTTTTTCACACCACTGTATATAGAAATCACCAAGTAATAACACAGATGGACGTATGGCACAGGTAAGAGTTAACAGCTCAATCAGATCACTCGGTAGAGGGAGTAGAGTCCGATACACAAGCACAACAATCATTGACGATGGACCAATAACTTTAACACCACAATATTCAAAGGTGGTAATGTCATTTGAAATAAGAACATTTATATTGACGGTTAAATCTAGGTATCAGAAATGGGCAAAAATAGCAGTAGGCCTCTGAGGGCTAAGCAAAAGTCACTTTTGGTTTGATATTTAATGGTTTATTTGGTACTCGCAGGCTTAATTCGGACTGACTGGTATGACCAGAGTAACCCGAGCCAGACCGACCGACTAGAGTCAGCTTTACAAAGCCCAAATACCATTTTTTTTAACATTATGTCAGCTTCTAACAGCATCATCTAACAAGATTGTGCCTCCAACACTCAATAGACCTGGGAAAGCTGAGGAATGGAAACAATTACTTCAGCTCTGCACTTTATCTTCATCTGATAAAGCCAGGACACAGGTGGACAGTGAAAAAGCACCCGCTTATTTCTATTTCAGGTTCAGAGAGGAAAGCAAACAGCGGGCATGCCGAGGACTACTTTCCAAGGGCCGGATCATTTGCAACAGAAGAGCCGAAGCCACCGCACATCTAGGAGGATGGAAATGAAGGAAGGAAGGAAGTTTCTCAGTGATGACCCTCCGTCACGAACACCAGCTGTACTTCCAAATGCTGTTTGCTTTCATCTTATCGGGCGATTTAAAGTGTCTAACGGAAGACAATAGTCTTTTGAGATCCTTCACTGTTTAAACTCAGTGCTGCAAAGCATTACCAATCATTCTCAGATCTAAGATTGTTTAGCGCCATTTTGAATGCGCTCCCCTTTTGAAATCGTGAATGGTCTCTCGGTGAGGTGAATCTATATTCATTTTCGATCTGATCTAAACAAATGCATATCGATCGAATTATTTAGAGAGAAGAATCGTCGGTTATTTAAGCACACACTTGCCAGATTCGTGAGACAACACCTTAAGACTCAATACTGAATACTCAATACCCAAGCAATGCTACTGAAAGCTCATGAGATAAATATAAGTCACTCTAGATAAGGGCATCTGCCAAATGCTATAAAAGTACATGTAATAGTGTTGCGCCAGATGATGCAAAGGATTCTTCTGAGGTTCTTTGTGGGGAATGCTGACAGCTTGGTCAGGTCACCTTCTGTCATTCTCCAGCATTCTGTAGGGTGGAAAAAACACAGCTCTAATATATTTTGAGCTGTATTGTGTGGACTCCCATATGAAAGACGTGTCTTACTTTGTTGAGACAGCTTTTGATGTCACTGCCTGCCCCTCCATCATTTCTAATAATGCTGCCCAGGTAGGTGAATTCTTCAGGATAGGTTAACCCCATCGACTTGAGATGTTCACTGTCATCACCTTTTGACATCTGTTTTCTGTTTATAGATCGTCAAGCCCATCTGCTGTGAAAATATGTCGAGTCTAGATGTTTTCTTTTGCATGTGCTGGTGAGCATGAGAGAGCAATGCAAGATCATCCGCAAAGACAAGGTCTTCCTGTGTTGTAGCCGAGTCCATCTTATGCCTCTTGGCTGGTTCCCAGTGGTTTGACTCATCACCCAGTCAACGGCCTTGTTGAATACCAGTGCCGACATCACACACCCTTGTTTTACACCTGTACTGACTTCAAAACTGTAATCAATGTCTCCTACTGTGCATGTAAAGTAGGCATAGAAACGAATTGATGATCATGCTGACCAATTGCTGAGGGATCCCGTATGCATGAATAATACACTAAAGACTGTCTCTATGGATGCTGTTGAAAGGTTCTTCAAAATCCACAAAGTTCATGTATGTTACATTTGTATAGCACTTTTCTAGAAACTCAAAGCGCTTTACATAGCATGGGGAGGTCTCCTCAAGCACCACTAGTGTGGAGCATCCACCTGGATGATGTGATGGAAGTCATAGTTCGCCAGAACGCGCACCGCACACCAGCTATTAGTGGAGAGGAGGGAGTGATGAAGCCAGTTCAGAGATGGGGATTATTAGGGGGCCGTGATAGAGAAGGGCCAATGGGGGAATTTCACCAGGACACTGGGGTATATATAGCCCTACTCTTTTATGATAAGTGTCCAGGGATTTTTAATGACCACGGAGAGTCAGGATCTCTAGAGCAAATATGCATCCTCTGTTCTTTCGGAATCCAGATCGTTCTTTTCTGAGTTGTTTGACGACTGCCTTCAAGATTCGCTGAATAATAATCTTTGCCAGGATTTTGATTGGGATAGACAGCAGAGTGATTCCTCACCAGTTGTTCCAGTTGTTCAGGCCTTTCTTTGAAATCTACATAAGGACAATTTTGTCTAGTCATCTGGAATTTTCTTTCCCTCCCAAATGATTGTAAAAAGCGGCGATAGTGCTTGTGCTGCCACCCCTAGATCTGTCTTGAAGAGTTCTGCATTGAGGTTGTCTTGTCCTTTGTCTTGTCCATTTACTATCAAGGTTAATCTCTGCCTCATGGATGTAAGCTTCAGCTGTTGGCGGTGCTCTGTTTAGTACTTTGCTGAAGTATTCTG